TATTTCGTAAACCTAGTGTTATTATAGTTAGATATTCCGCTACCTTTTTATAATGTCTAACTACACAGTACACTTTAGAAAGGACTGCGTTAAGTTAAATTTATATATTTTATTTGGATATATAAAAAATACACTTACTAATTGATATATAAGGAAACTGTGCATTTTGTATAGACATCCTATTTTTAAATATATGTACGAGTATATACTGCAATGACGCTGATCCGGATTAATGTAAATATTACATAAAATTCTTAATGACTAAAAAAAACCCAATAATCTTATATGTAAAATGCTCGTATCAAAATATTAGTTACCATACTTCTCCGAAACGGCTTGATCGATTTTTAAGAAATTTTATATGCATATTCAGGAAATGTGAGAATCGGCTAACCACCAACCCCTATTTTTTAATAGCGATATTAGTACTTACATTTATATGGCAAAACGTTTGCCGGGAAAGCTAGTTATAATATATATAACAAAATCAATTATAGTATTTACTATACACGCCAGCGGCAGTTACACAAACTGCGTGCGTCTCAGTCATTTGTAATCTTGACCCAAATAATCAGGTGTATTTAGTAAGTATTATTTTAATTATTAACTACTTGTGAAGTGTCTGGGAGGTCTTTGTGCACGTGTAAAATTGCGTATTTTCAATGTGCAAATATAATTATTTACACTTGTTAAATAAAGTCAATAAGGTTACATATCGATAACAGATGGAATTTAAACAAAAGATTAACAACATTGACCAGTTTTAGAAGCGAATATGTCTACACTCTTGTTTGTGATCAGAATTATTATTATTATACATATTTTTTAATTGTTAAACTTATATATTATTGTTAAATTTATATTTATATAACTTAGTCTGATGGTTGATATCTATTATCAAGCGAGTCTTTACTCTATTAATCATTTTCACCAGGAATAAAGTAATCCTATATATTAATATTTATTAGGAATTTTAATTAAATCAAAAATATTTTTATTCGTAGGCCTCCAGTCTCAATCATTACATAGTATAAAACAAAGTCGCTATCGCTGTCTGTCCGTCCCTATGTATGCTTAAATGTTTAAAACTACGCAACATATTTTGAAGCGGTTTTTTTTAAATAGATGGAGTGATTCATTAGGTAGGTTTATATATATAATACATGTACGCCCGAGGCGAGTAGCTAGTTACAGATAATTCAATAAGCTATATCTACCGGCAGATCGAAATACAGTTTCAAGCCAAGAAGAACCGACAAGAAACTCAGCTTTTTCACTCTTTTCAATCAAATATGCATTCCTACATATACATATTAATACTTAGTTTAAAGAGTGACAACCGAGTATTCTATTAAAATAACGTCACTGAAATGAAATAACTAAACCAACAGTTTGAATAGTTATATAAAGTTTCTATCCTTTTGCATTGTAATACGTTTTCCATATTGGTATTTTCCATATGGTTCAGTTTAAGACAATATTATTTTGGACTAAGTGTGACCGCGGTTTACTTGCTTAACATTTATAGCCTAGTTATTCTGATGTATGAGCTATATTAGTGTAAAGTTTCATCAAAATCCGTTCAGTAGTTTTTGCGTGTAAGAGTAACAAACATCCATACATCCATCCATACTCACAAACTTTCGCGTTTATAATAGATACTAATAAGATCCTATATATTTCATAGGTGATGTCAGACCTAAGGTAATATAGATATATATTACCTTAGATCTTCACATAACAATACCGTCCTACATTTTGACGTATGTTTTATCACATTTGCGTCTTTTTTTTTATTAAGTATCTTTACGGCCCTGGAAATTTCCTTTCAGCGACACATTTGTTTCATTATTCAAATTGCCAGTAACAATTTGGATGTCATGGAAAACTGATAAGAAATAATGAGCTAGTTACGAGTAGGTGCGCCTGTTCACATGTCTTGTTTAATACTCAATGCGCAGTAAATAGCAACTATGTTAGTACTTTATAAACAAATTAATTCAATACACCTTAACAGCACTCCCACTTGCCGTTCACTAGCTCCCTACATTTCTGTTGGTGTCATTCTTTGTGTTTATGTGTCAGCTATTTTTCATCTGTGATTCAATAGTTAATATCAATATTTAGTAATGTATTTTATATATATACTAGCTACCCACACCGGCTTCGCACGGGTGTACATGTATTATACATATAAACCCTCCTTTAATTATTCTATCTATTAAAAAAAACCGCTTTGAAATCTGTTCCGTAGTTTTAAAGATTTAAGCATACATAGAGACGGACAGACAGCGACAGCGACTTTGTTTTATACTATTTAATGATTATGATAACAGGCAGGCATCACCTCTGATGGCAAACGGTTACTGTATCTATATTATTATCTTATCTGTGTTTTAACCTATGGACGTCTGAATAGTAGTGGATCATATGGGTATTACTTTAAGGAAACTTTAATGTATTGTTTTCGAAAAACTCTAAGCTTTATACCTTTGAAAACAACATTTTTAAATGTTTCAAGTATTAAAAAAAAGGGATATTACTTTCATTCAAATTTCAAAAAGGCGATTATGAGTTTTCATAATCTCTATACAGCTCTCTTGTGATGATTTGTGATATGAATTTATTCCATTGCATGTACAGCCCGCATTAAAAAAAGAAAAAAAAGCACTGAAAATCTGACATGTGAAATATATAATTTGAGTGGTAGTTTATTTGTACATGTTTATAAAGTTCCCTTTTGACAGTTACCACAATGTTTAAATACAAATGAATATTTTTAAACACGCAAATATAATAAATATATAGTTAAGTATTGAATTTTACTTAATAGTTATTGCGTTTTTTATACCTAAACAGATAATTCATAAATGTATTAGAACATTTATACACATATTATTCAATGTAGCAAGAAGTTGCTATTTACATAATATTGCAAGTACATTGTCTCAATCTAATAGAAGTCATTTCTCAATATATTATTTCTCATATTGTTCTCATATGTCTCGCAATACTATATATTATTAGCGATCGTCGATCATTGTGCTTTCTACAATCTGTCAATAGTATTGGGAAACAATAAAGAGAATAAAAATGGACCCTACTAAGTTGCCTCAGTAGGTGTGTAACTTGATGAATGAATGATAGGTGATTTCATTAGGCGTAATCGATTCTATAAGAATAGTCAAGTACTTAGCTATTGGTTACAACAGATTATATAACAGACTATCTATATATACGTTATTGATGATGTTGGAATGGTGCTCTCGTCCGTTGTAATGGCAGATATATGGTACCATGTCGGGACGCTAGAGAAGTCATATAATTTTATACAAGAGATATGCTTTATACAAAATGGGTTACTCAGTCTCGTATATTTCATCCATTAATTAATTAAAAATAATACTTTGTAAGCTCCACTTTGGTTGAAATTAGGTAAAATAAACTTTTCTATATAAATATTAAAAGACTGGCTTTGTATTGGTGAATATTGATTATGTAGTAGGTACTCTAGTGTTAATGATGAGCAGTGCAGTGTAGTCACTTCTACTTGCTTTATGGGTTTTTACGAGCTGTGTCGCATATCAAATTGATGAAAATTTCGGTATACCATCACAAATCGTAGGTAAATAGCCGTGGAAATATTGACTACAATTCGCTTTGCTAGTTCTGCGATTAGATACCTACTGTTAGGTCTAAATTGCATCTTCTAAGAGCCATTAGGCTCTTAGAAGATTCCATTGAGTTATTGTTTAATAACGAATTAGAAAAGACATTACAATTGCCTCCGTTGTTGATCAATTGCAGTACATATTGAATTTATTCAATCGGTTTCTAAGTTTATTTAATATAATAATACATTTGTAAATCTTTACAAATGTATTATTAAACATTTTTACAAGAGAGTAAAATTTTCTGTATTTTGTGGCCGGTTTTATAATAATACCCATAAAATAAATATAATTAATATAAAAAATAATTGACCTTAAAATATGTAATAATTTCTGTTCAACATGCGATTGTTTTTCGGCTACATATTATTTTTCTGTTCTACGAAAATTACTGCGTGCCAATATAATTTGTTCGTGCAGGAAAAAAATTCATCGCATCGGGAAAACTGTCATAAGTAGTAAAACAATTTAGGAGCAAATGAAATATTTATCTAAGTCAGATCAATTTAGCCCGGCTTATAAACTTAACCGGCTTATAGTATAAAATGAAGCCGCTTCCGCTGTCTGTTAGCTTAGATCCTTGAAGTGATGCAACGGATTTTAATGCAGTTTTTGGTAATAGTTAGAGTAAAAAGGAAGGTTTATATGTCTAATAAATATACCTGTGTAAAGCCGGGCGGTATTCACCTTTATTTTGTTTAAATCGGATGTAACAGCTTAGTCATGGAATAGCAACGCATAAGTGTTACCACGGGTCACATAATAAAATGGTGTTCATATTGCTAGTCATAAAGGTATATAAGCTATAGTTGAAACTTACCATCAGATGGGCCGTCAGCTTGTTTGGCGTTCCAATAACAAAAAAAATGTTAAGTTGGAAACTGATTAGTGTAGTTTTTAAGAGTAAGTACATGACATAAATATTTAGTGTGTAGACATATTCTTTTCATCATTGTATACCTAGTTTTCGAAACGACAATGCTGTCGCTTGCATACGACCTGCCCAACCTGTCGCGTCGCTTCTATTGTCACACGAATGAAAGTATATGTTATGGATGTTATGCAGGAGTATAAGATTATTTACATCAATTGCCTGTAACGAGTCCATTGGAAATAGAACCTTATGTCGTATGCTAATACTTTGGTTTCTTACAACCTATATAAAACATGCGTAGCATCGCCACGTACGTAAAATAGTCGTAACAAGTTCATGTTCATGACCGTTGCAAATCTGTGATTGTTACATAGCTTTCACAAAATAATTTCGTAAAAAAAACTATTATAGATGTGATTTTGGTCTGGTTTTCATAGATTTATTTTTTGTTTTAGAAAATACGGGGCTGTGTCATGAAACGACTTTCTTCAGGTGAGTCACACTTCAATGATGCATGCATTCGCGTAAAAACTATTAAGTACCTTGATTTAAATTTAAATCAATTCAAAGTTTGGTTCGGTTTCGTTGTTAAAATAATATATACTAATAACTAAATAGTTATCAACACTAAAATAATTAGATCACACAGCGTCACAAACTAATCTATATTTCTTATATGTATATGCATTCGTAATATTGTACTTCTAGTAAACACAAATGACTGCCTCGGTGGTCTACCGGTTTAGCACACCGCTTTACTTCCGACGGTTGCGAGTTCGATTCCTCACACGGTGCAAACATTTGTAGACTGGAATATAAGTGTTTGTATTGTTTTGGATGTTCTCTATGTATACCTATTATGTATAAATATCCAAAAAAAATAAGTATGGGTATCAGTTATTTAGTACCCATAGAACAAGCTCTGCTTAGTTTGGTATTAGTTGACGCTAGCGGTGTAGTGTGAATTGTCAAAAGAAGGAAGCAAGTTAGCACTGTAAAATTATTCTGGGTTATTTTTATTATAAATTTATTGCTGACTGTGAGTATTTAGTTATACATGTAAGCCATATATAACTAAATACTCACAAAGATATAAGGTAACTGGATTACTGTATGTGTGGTAATGACAATCAATTAATTAGTATCCGAGTCAATGGCGCATGTAACGTTACGCCAGGAACTGAATAATCGATTAATCGTATTATACAATATGTATGAGAGGTTAGAACGTGATGATCATTTTATTCGATTTTTATTTACGATTTATTGTAATTTATTTAATGAGTAAAGACAAAGAAATAGTAATACTCTTAATAAGGTACTAACAACATACATAATATTAATATAAGAGTGCAGAAAAGACAACAGGATTTATGTATTTTTTTTATACTTTACTTTTAAATTAAACAAATGAACGAGATGACAGCCAGAACGACGTAAGATGATGTTTTGTTTAAATCAAAAATATTTTTTTTATTTTTGTTTTACATAGGTATACATCTTTATGTATATGTAATACAAAAATAAAAAATAATTTTATAAGACTTCTTCATATCTCACCTGCGATGTTCGCACATATATTATTAAATTTGATAATATGTCAGATAGACAATAATAAAGTACTGCCTAAATTTATATTCTAGTGTTACCAGTAGGCACTTTTAATAGCGTTATAAATCGATGCAGTAGAAACCTTTTGCATTCAGTAATACGCATACATTTTTACATCTTATAAAATTTTACATAATAGCACTAAAGATAAATATCATATATTCCAGTATACATTTTACATATAAATGCGTTAAGTTGCTGGTCAGTATCACGAATCTCGATAACATCAAACGAAGCGAAAGCTGCTTGAAACTTGGCCTGAGATGTAGGCACCTCTCTTTGAAACGCCAGCATGCAATCTTACATGTAAATAAACTAAAAGCTACCATAAATATACCTTCTATAGCTCTATAGTATTAAAGCGAAAGTCGTGTGGTAGAAAGACAGTAAAATAAAATGTATAAGATATACAGCAATCTACAGAAGTATGTGAGATTAAATATACTATGTTTTATATATCCAATTTTGAGCACTATTCAATCATATTAACGTTTTTACTTTAGGAAATAAGTTTACTGAAAAAAGTTTCTCAATTCTAACCAATACTTTATTACTATTTATACTATCTTGAAATTTTAAAACCTAAGATAATTGTGTTCCTAATGCTATTTATCTACTTAAAAAAATAATATTTTTGTAGCTTCTTTTTATAAAAGAAATCTGAGAATGTACGAATGAGTCTTAGGTCATTGTCTAGTACATATTTTCGAGATTAAGTGAAAATTTATTTTAGAATCAGCACAATTCAGCTTCAAATGGTGCTATGGATTTAAATAGTAGAAGTCATCAAAACTTTTTTTATTGAGTGTATAAGATTTACTCTGGTACTTGACTCTTATTCATTATTATATGTATAGTATTAATATAATAATAAACCTATACATATATTAATACTATATGTATATACATATAGTATTAATATATGTATAGGTTTTTTATTTATAACATCAGCATGCAAGCTGATATAAACTGATAATCACTATTAGAAATTAGTACCTTATTACTGATTTAGGTGCTTTTGCTAAGAGATTTGCCGTCTCTATGATATGATAATTCTAGAACTATAAAAAACATTACTTATATTTCAGCGTCTTAACACATATTAAAACTTATACAAAAAGTAGTTACTTACTCTTCATTTACATTTTATGTTTAACTTTCATTGCGAATAAACTTGATTCGGTGGCGTGCTGGACAACCTCATGGTATTTCGTGTAAAAAGCTGTTGGCCTACTCTCAACTGCTGTATGGAAGTTTATTCAATTTCAAATTAACATATTACGACATCTGTCGTTTTAATGTGATAATAAATGTCATATAAATATTCAAAATATTACTGTGATTATTTGAGTAAATATAAGAATAGTATTAAATATTACCCTTTCCTACAGTAGCATACGGAAATTTACCTTCCTAACACATTTTTGAAAATTAGCATTACGATTTGTTTTAAAGAACTTCTGTAACTGTTACAAACTTATGAGTTTGGTTAAAACTTAGGTGAAATTACAAAAAGCTTTTTATATCGGTATTTATCTTTATTTAACTTTTCTTCACAATTTAATTATGTCCCTAATTCGGTCGTGTATTTGTTTTTACCGTAACACCTTCATGACATATTGACACGATAATTTCATAATAGTATGCGAGCATGCTATACAAGGGGGATTTAATTCTAGAATGATTAACTGCTCAAAAAAACTACTCTAGTAATTATTTCTTAAGACTGATTTTTCTTTTAAATGATCGACTCTAATAATTTTATATATCTGAAGAGTTTGTTTATTTTGTTGAATACGCTAATCTTATGAACTACTGGTTAGAATTGAAAATTGGTTCGTTTAATGTTAGATAGCCTATTTATCAAAGAGGGCTACAAGCTATTTACATCATGCTACGACCAATAGCAGCCGAGCATAAATGAAAAATGTAGGCCGGGTCCCTTGTGTGACGCAGATAAAGTTGTCGGTTTACATACGTTGTTATGTTGTAAATTGACTTTTACAAGTCACGATTTTATTTATAATACTGACTATTACTTTTCAATCTAACATTATTTACTGTACTAAATATTAAATTGAGCTTGTACCTCGCACCATCAATTCTTCATGCGGTCGCTGAGTAAACCACAAAACTTTTAAGTGTGTCTATGACTAATCCCGTGTTGGCCCACTTGATAAATTCCTTAGATTCTATACAGCGGAAAACGGTTAGGTAAGCTGTTAATTTTTTAAATTAACCAGTAATTGCGTTATGCCTTATAATTTTATGAATCTCGATTAAAATCTTACCTTATTTAATCTATCCATTAAATAAGTTGTTGGTATATTTCCCGTCCAAAGTTTTGATATCATCAAATCATAGATAAGAGTAAGTATATTGCATCCCTTAATCGACCCATTAATGGAAAAAGGAATGAGAAATCACCAAGATAAAAAAGGCATTAATCAGGCTGTACTTCTTTGTACAGCCTGAAAAACATTAGAAAAAAAATTGACAATTGTACAGTATATATCTGAGTATCGTCTTAGACAGTACTCAGGTACATACTGTAATGACTTTTCTTACGTTAAAATATAATTTCCAAAGATTTATCGCATAATCGTAAATTTTTTTGCTAAATGTTTTTTCCATTAATACTGTCTCAATTACAGCTAGAAAGCATCATGTTAGAATAGTAGGGTACAGTAATATACCTAATATTACTGATTTTAAAAAAGCACAAAATAATTTGGATCGTTCAAGTCGGCGTATTTCTTCGAGAAAATAATTTAATATGGACCCATCATATCTGCCATATTTAACAACATGATGATACATTAAGATATCTTATACAATCAACCACCAAAAGTTGGTACTGATTGAAATGACCACAAGGATTTGAGTTTTGAAATGTTTTATGTTCTTCTATGTAATTGATATACAATATGTTAAATTATAATTTATACATGTTTTATTATTTATTTACACATTTCCTCTCTGTAGTGTCCGGAGGCGAACAGTAAGCAAGCAACATTCTTTGTATGTGAATAATAATATTTGCGTTTACGCAACCCCAGTGACTAATAATGCGGTATAAAAAGCAGCCTTAAGCGGAACGAGAACTGACCTAGGCCACCTTAATCAATTTATTAGGGCTTCTTAATAGATATTTTTTTAAGTGAATAGATATTTCATTATTTATAAAAAATGTTTTCGTCTAGTGGTTTACCGTCACAACCTACACGAAAACGGCTGTGAGGACAAATTTGACCGACAAATACTTTATACGTCATATGTCAATTTAAATTTCTGATTGACTGTCCGGTGAAGGAAACATCGATAACAAATAAAAAATGCAGTGATGATGGTCGGTAGTAGGCTGCTAGTCAATTATCACGAATTGTGCGCATATTACGTGTTGCATTCACTATAACGACGATAATAGACAATGCCTCTGTCTACCCCATCTAGTATAATAGTTGTGTTGGCAAATTGCATATTAGGTGATTTACTGCGTTCTTCATTTTGATAACCACAATTAGATTTTTTACTATCGGTATTATTATATAAGATAGAGTTAGGAATAAAATTATAACTTATTAGAATTTATTCACTCGGTCAAACTTTATATTTATTATTTATTCTAATTATTACATATTTGTTTTATGTACATATTTACGAATAAATTAAAAAGAAAAGGCAATAAAAACATAATTAAAATATTAAATATATTATTTACATTTTTAGGTAATAAATATAATATAGCCAATGTTAAATAGGAATGAAATGATAATTAGGTACAAGATGTACAAGTAAAAGCAGTCAGTATTAAGTTACCTCATGGCCGCTTTTACTTGGGACATACATTAAAGTATGTTAAGTTAACACTATAAACATCT